GCTTGTCTGGGCCATCTAAACACTAGCAGCCCAACCAGACTTCCAAGGGCAATGGACTTCACTGTAGGATAGGCATCCTCCACCATCTGTTAAAGTCAAGTCTACACGGAGACAAACTGATAGAGAAAGAAAGAAGATGAGCTTCTGAGGGCATATTGGTGGCATAAGTGATACTTTACATTCTCACTTTTGTACATATCTGTTCTGTTTTCACCATTATGTGAGTGTGTGAGATTCTCTGTCCAGATGCAAATACAACATTGCAGGTCGTTATCCCAACACTGCTCCATGGACTAGGGTGTAAGGTGGGGAGCTGCTGCATCATGTGCAGATAATGGTTAAATCGCAGGAAACTGCAACTTTGGCAACAATGCTCCGTCTCTCTCGGTGCACAGACATGGGCTATTACAACCAAGGAGTAAGTGGAATTCAGTCATTGAAGACCACGGAAAAAGGAACAGGAATAACCCGTTTAGTATGCCATTCAATAGGATCATGGTTGATCAGACATTGCTCACATCTACTGACTTGCCCTTTCCCCATAACCCTTCATTCCCCTAACTGAGCAAGAATCTATCTATCTCAGCCTTAAATATACGCAAGGACTCCACTCCTACAGCACTCTGTGGCAAGAAGTTCCAAACACTCACAACCCTCTGAGAGAAGAAATTCTTCCTCATCTCAGTCTTAAATTGACGCTTCTTTATTCTGAATCTATGCCATCCAGTCCTAGACTCTCCCATGAGAGGAAAAATCCTCTCAGCATTTATTCTGTTAAGCCCCTTAAGAATTCTCTGTTTCAATGAGATTACCTCTCGTTCTGCTATAATCCAGTGAGTAAAATCCCAATCTGTTTAGCCTTTCCTCATAAAACAATTCATGTAGATCAGAGATCATCCTGGTGAACCTTCTCTGAATTGCCTTCAATAAAAATTATATTTTTCCTGCTCACAGTACTCGAGATGTGATCTCACCAACACCTTGTACAGTTGCAGTAAGACATTCCTACTCTTACACTCCAACACTCTTGAAATTAGAGCCAACATTCCATTAGTTTTCCTGATTACCTGCTGCACCTGTGTGCTAGCTTTCTATGTTTCATGGACAGGTACCCCCAAATCCCTTTGTGTTACAGCTTTTTTCAGTTTTTCTCTAGTTAAATAATATTCAGTTATTTTATCCTCCCTTCCAAAATGAACAATTTCCCATTTTCCCATATTTTACACCATTTGCCAAATTTTTGCCCACTTAATTAACCTATCGCTATCTCTCTGTAAACTTTCATAAACAGCCTTTGCACAAATTTTGTGTCATCTGCAAGTTTTGCTACAATAATTAATATATATTATGAACAGTTGTGGTGCCAGAACTGATTCCTATGGAACTCCACTGGTCATGGGTTGTCAACCTGCAAAAGAAACTCTTGTCCGCACTTGCTATTTCCTGCCCATTAGCCAATTCTCTATCCATGCCAATATATTATCCCCAATATCGTGGGCTCTTATCTTATAACTGCACGTTCTCGAATGCCTGCTGGAAGTCCAAATACAACACATCTGTTTTCCTTCTATCCACTCTGGTTGAGACTTCCTCGTAAAATGGTAATAAATTAATCAGACATGATTTCCCTTTCATGAAGCCTGCTAATCCTCCCTTATTAGATTATGATTATCCTGCATGAGATGCTTAGGCCTGCTTGGAGCAACAGTTGGACTGCACACAGTAGGATCATGCCTCAGGGTCACAAGGAATGCAGTATTCATAGGTCTTTTCACCTTCAGTTGTGGTGTCTGATCAATGCAGTTGCCCTTTGAAGGCCTTTGTATTGTATAGACTTGCAGCCCCCTTCCTCACAGTGCAAAGCGTATCCCAGGTGTGTGGTCATAGCCATTTTCACTTCTTTTGCATACTTGTGATTTACTGAATGAAGGAAAGCACAGTGGCTGCTCCTTGGACAGTAAAGTCTAGCCTCCAGCTCTCCATATAAATGCATTTCAAAGAATAAGCTCCCTCCTCATTGCCCAAAGCAAGGCCAAGATAGGCAATGGGTAAATGAGTGCTCAGAGAACAAGTGAGCAACCCTGAGATGCAGCCTAGGTCAATCCATGAGCTGGATGCCTCTCCCTATGTGCAAAGTGTCCTTGCAACAACATTCCAGTGGGAGGTGCTGGTGCACTCTCCAAAGTACTGCATTAACAGTGCAGAGGGATACTGTAAGTGACTCAGAGATGTGCCATGATGGTAAGGAAGACTGGCATTTGTCAGATACCAAAGTCCTTGGATGTGGGGTGCTCATGGTCACAATCCACAGAATATGCCTGCAGAAGTGGTAGAGAAGGGTACAATGACAACATTTAAAAGACATTTGGACAGGTACATGGATAGGAAAGATTTAGAGGGATAGAGGCCAGGCACAGACAAATGGGACTAGTTCAGTTTAGGGAATCTGATTGGCATGGACAAGTTGGGCCAAAGGCTCTTTTTCTGCGCTGTATGATTCTGTTGGTCCAGGTGTCAACGATGGCAATCTGTAGGAACAAGTGTCAAGCTGAAGTCACCAAATACCTACTTAGACTTTCATGTTGGAAACTCTCAGCATCTCGGTTCTATTTGATGTGTGGTAAAATATGAGAATTTGCGTATGAATGAGGCGAGATTCAGTGTTAATGAGAGTGATAACAAGCAATAATCCATGCTAATGGGCATCTTGCTGCTCCATACTAAGAATCTCATGGTGACAGTACAAAACTTTGTTGAAAATTATGATATGTGGCTCCTCGAATCAAGCAAGCCCTTGTTTGATTTCTTACAAGATTCTCCCAGATTTCTCACATAAATCCATGTCACTCAGGGCCTTATAAAATTCCGCTCTAAGACTTCCAATTTTTTATTCTCCCAAATAGTCCTGTCACAAGAAATTACAAACGCAAACCCTCATATTCACATTCTAGAACTGTTACAGACTTGCTTCACCCCTTGTAATATTACCAGAAGGTAACTCCTTTTTGGAGTTGAATCTTAATGTTCGTAAATGTGTCCATTTATTTATTTATTTATCTATTTATTTATCTATCTATCTATCTATCTATCTATCTATCGTCACATGAATTTTGTTACAAAACACCTGAAAAGTGTTGTACAGTCTCACCATTCTCAGGTGCCACTTTAATAAAACACAGAAAAATAAATCAAAACTTAAAACACAAGGGCAGAAAAATAAAGAAATAAAGAAATAGTGTTCAACTTTACAGTCCTTCTTGTTAAGTGCTCCGCCATGGGACATGGGCCTGGTGGCCAGCCGTGAGACCCCTTCACTGCATAGCTGCCGCTGGAACAAGAGTTGCCATTCTTTGGCACTATCTCGCCTCCAACGATGCCCTCACCATTATGAGTTCTCACTGGACCTTTCCAATGCAGCCACCACCAATGCCTGCGGGCACTGCACCAGCCTAAACTTGACTCTGCTGCTGCCATGAGTCCACTTCAGGCCCACCTCACTAATGCAGTCGCTGCTGATGCCACAAAGCATCCATACTGGGCCCAAACTTGCTTCCACCGCCGCCTCCATGCATCTGCACTGGACAGAAATGCCACTGGGAACCAAAATCTGCCTCTGCCACAGGAGAGGACCACCTCATTGATGCAGAAGTGCTGGGCGCACTTTTATTCTTTCCTGGTCCACTTACCGACCGCCACAAGTCCGCATTGGGCTTGCATTGCCATGACCAAGCTCTTCAACAAGAGGTAACTAAAAAAAAAGTTGGGAAAGAAAAACAGCAAAAGAGAAAACAAAAGAAAAGGAACAAAAATAAAAACAGATAGAGCAGATGAGCCCCAGGCTCAGGAACCCCACTCTGTCGCCATCTTGCTGGAGGATAAATATCATATTTTCATCTTTTTTCTCTGTTCTCATTAGTACACTGCATTTTAACACCAAGATCATCCATGACTCTAAATAATCAAAACTTATTACTCCTTTGGTGCCCATGCTTTCTTTGCTGTCTTTGTCTACATATATATCCATATGCAAATTTCTTATTCTCTTTTCTAATCCTCTGTATCTTTTGCTATCTCATGTTGCTTTTGCTTGGTTCTTAACTATTTCTTTGAATATTTATGGTTCTAAATTTATAATTTCAACTGAGATTCCTCTTTGTATCTCTTTGCCATATTATTTTCTTTGTGTCTGTACCTCTTTTTTAATTTGCTTGAAGGGCCACTGCAGCCCCTCTGCACAACCAGAACCACTCCAAAGGCTGAAGAGAGTAGAGATAAATGTTGACCTTTTCTCTCATCATGTCAGCAGTAACAAGACTACTCCTCTGTGGCCACAAATATAATCCCTTATCCTGAGACCCTGCCAAAACCTCCTCCTGTCACTCGCCTTCTGGTCAGGAGCTGCCTCCAGGCTGCCTGACTGCCAACAGTCTAACAACTGTTTACATTCAAAATCTGACATGCTTGCACTTGTGGGAAAAAGCAAAATCTATAGGGAGGAGGAGTGGACTGACCAGGGTACTTTGGTTCCAAGTTGCCTTTCAAGTAAGGAGAGTATAAAGGAATGTGATGGTGTTAGGAGATAGTCGGCAGTGGTGGCAATCATTTGCTAATCAATATGATTATCCACCTAGGAAATTCTGTGTTGCTGGTCATGAGTTCTGTGGCTCCTTGCATAACTGATGAGCCTGACCCTAGAAGCACATCTCTTTTACATGTGTTTCCAACTCGTGGAAGTGGTTTTTGGTCTCCTTTCTCTAATTCCTTCTCCAAACTTTCTCCTGCTAATGGGTGTTCTCAAAGAAATGTGTTCATTCATACAGGAGTTTCCTCCAAGTCAGTTTCTTCTGAATGAGGGTTTTCCATACATTAACAACTATATTGCATTTCTCAAGGGAAGCCTTCAGGGAGAAATGCTTCCTTTGTCCTCTCATTTGAGTGCCTTCATTGAACAGGGCAAAGAAGATTTGCTTTGGCAATCAGAACTCAGGTATCCTAAGGACATGCCCAGCCCAGCAGAGTTGGTTTCAGACAATCATGACCTCAACGCTGGTGCAATTCGCTGCTTCAAGGATGGCGATGTTAGTACACCTGTCCTCCCAGCTGATTTGGACAATGTGATGTCATCCATTTTGGTAGGAGTAACAGTAAAAAGTACTATTATTGGAATGGTAAAAAAATTGCAGCATGCTGCTGTGCAGAGGGACTTGGTATGAATCACAGAAGGTTGGTTAGCAGGTGCAACAGGTAATTAAGAAGGAAAATGGATTTTTGTCCTTCACTGCTAGAGGGATTGAGATTGAAAGCAGGGAGGTTATGTTACTGCTGTATAGGGTGCTGGTGAGGCCACACCTAGAGTACTGTGTGCAGTTTTGATCTCATTACTAGAGAAAGGATGTACTGGCACTGGAGGGGATGCAGAGGAAATCCACTAGGTTGATTCCGGAGTTCAGAGGGTTGGCTTTTGAGGAGAGACTGAGTAGACTGGGAGTGTATACATTGGAATTTAGAAGAATGAGGGGCCATCTTATAGAAACAGATGAAATTACAAAGGGAATAGATAAAAAGGAAGCACAGAGGTTGTTTCCACTGGCGGGTGAAACTAGAACAAGAGGGCATAGCCGCAAAGTTAGGAGAAGCAGATTTAGGACTGAATTGACAAACTTCTTCACCAAAAGAGTTGTGGATCTGTGGAATTCACTGCCCAGTGAAGTAGTTGAGGTTTCCTCATTGAATATTTTTAAAGCTCAGATAGACAATTGTTTGAACAGTAAAGGAATTAAGGGTGATGGTGAGAGTTTGGGTAAGTGGAGCTGAGACCACAAAAAGATCAGCCATGATCTTATTGAATGGTGGAGTGGGCTTAAAGGGCCAGATACCTATTCCTGTTCCAGGTTCTCATGATCTTACCCATCTCAAACAGTGTTGGTGGTATTTCTCTAGGGTCTTGAGGTAGTGTCTGTACATAGTCCAAGTTTTGCAGCCATATAGAAGAGTTGGAAGGATGACAGCCTTATGCACAAGGATTTGGTATCAGCATGGATCACATGGTCATGTAAGACTCTCATCTTTAGGTGTCCAAAGGAGGTGTTAGCAAATTGAATGCAATGATTGTATAGTCAGTGGGATTGACACCATTTTGTGCAGCCAAGAGCATAAGTCCACAAGGCTTTGTTGCAAATCTGGTGCCAAGGATTGCACCATTAGCTCAGGCTGTACAGGAACTTGGAATCCTGTTGTCATGGTCCATGTAAATACCAACAACACAGGCAGGACTAGGAAAAAGGATGTGCTTAATGTAAGGAGCAGAACCTCAAGGGTAATAAACCTGGGCCACATGCCAGTTGACAGAGGGTACATAAAATTAGTGGAATGAATACATGACTCAAATACAGTGTGAGAGAAATGAGTTTTGGTTCATGGGGCACTAGCATCATTAATGGGGAAAGAGGCAGCTGTACTGTTGAGATGTGCCAGTGTCCTAGTAAACCATAGAATCCCTACAGTGTGGAAGCAGGCCATTTGACCCATCAAATCCACACAGACCCTCCGGGGAGCATCCCACCCAGACACATACCCTTATCTTATCTCTACATTTCCCATGACTAATCCAACTAGTTTGCACATCCCCCAATGCTATGGGCAATTTAATATAGCTAATTCACCTAACCTGCACATCTTTGGACTGTGGGAGGAAGCTGGAATACCCATTGGAAACCCACACATACACAGGGAGAATGTCCAAAATCTACAAGGACAATCACCTGAGGGTGGAATTGAACCCAGGTCCCTGGCACCAGGAGGCAGCAGTGCTAACCATTGAACCACTGCACTATACTGGTTATAAACCACATAAACAGGGAAGAAGAGAGGGTTTTAAACTAAACAGTGGTGATGAAGGATCAAACTTGAATATATGTAGCACATCATGGGGTAGAGTCAAGGCATGAGAGCAAATGAAGATCAAAGAACGTCGCGATGGGACAGAGAGAATAAACCTAAGAATACACCAATATACAAGACTAGATTTACAAAAACGACAAACAGACAAGACTAAAGGCTTTGTATGTGAATATTCGTAGCATTCATAACAAAATTTTGAAAATTAATAACCCACACTGTGGTAAGTAAATATGATCAGATAACTTTTATAGAGATGTGGTTTCACGATGACAAAGTTTGTGTCTAAGATATTGAATATTGAGATGTTTATGATATTCAAGAAGAACAGGAGTCTGAGTAAAAGTCAAGAAGTAGTATTGTTAATCAAAGGTGACATCAGTGCAATATTTAGATTTGACCTTAGTTCTAGAGATCAGGATGCTGATTTTGTTTGGGTGAACATGTGGAATAGTAGGGGAGGAAACTCACTCATGGCAGTGACTCCAGGACATGACAAAGGAAAGTCTCACATATTTCTTGGAGAACATTATGTGCAAATCTTCAATCTGCCTAAAAAACACATGTTTAGGCTGGCCCCAGTTAAATTGACATTATAGCACTCGATTTGCATAAATTCATGAGGCCTTTTTTTTATTTAGGTGGGTGTCTCATCTGCCTGTAGCACCTTGTAAATTAGGATTTGTAACATTGAGAAACACCCAAATTATAAGCAGGGCAAAAATGTCTTTTAATTTCCCAATTAGAGTCATAGAGATGCACAGCACAGAAACAGACCCTTCAGATCAACTCATCCATGCCTTCTAGATATCCAAGATAAATCTAGTCCCGTTTGCCAGCATTTGGCCCATTTCCCTCTCAACCCTTCCTATTCATATACCCATTCAGATGCCTTTTAAATGTTGTAATTATACCAGCCTCCACCACTTCTCTGGTAGCTCATTCCATACATGCACCACACTCCGCATGAAAAAGTTGCCCCTTAGATCCCTTTTAAATCTTTTCCCTCTCACCTTAAACCTATGCCCTCTGGTTTTGGACTCTATCACCCCAGGGAAAAGACCTTGTCTTTTTACCCTATCCATGCCCCGCATGATTTTATAAGCCTCAATAAGGTCACCCCTCAGCCTCCGACAATTAAGGGAAAGTAGCCCCAGCCTATTCAGCCTTTCCAGCTTCTCCCTATAGCTCAAACCCTCCAATCCTTGTAAATCTTTCCTGAATCCTTTCAAGTTTCACAACATTCTTCCTAAAGCGGGGTGACCAGAATTGCACACAGTATTCTAAAAGTCGCCTTTACCCAGTTTCTAGTGGGATAGGGTTAAAATAAAACCTCAGTATTTTGAATTTTACATCTAAAATTTCACAGAATTTTTTAATCTTTGCAATGAACAAAATTATTTTACTTTAAATAAAATATGATTATGTAGTGACAGGTTTTATGATACTGTGTATATCTTTACAAACAATACGAGAAACCTTTAAGTTATAGATATTTCTTCCTAACACCATCCAGTACAGTTTGTTACAAGTAAGTTACTGTTTTATTCATGGTTTCATCACTGAGATTATTGGAAAGGTCAGTAACCTATTGTACCAGCAATAATCAAAGGAGTGTTTTTCAAATGTATACAGAAATGTAGCAATTTGTAACAAAATCCATTGTTTCAAAATTTAATGTATCTTTTGTAATACTGGTGTTTATATGTTTTGACGTCTTAAATGACAGCATTGTTCACTGTATCAAGTATTTGTTCAAAGTCTAATCAGAATGTCTCTATGTAAGCTGTTCTCAAGCTAAGGAATTCAGGGGGAGGGATGGATCTGGAGGTGTTACTTATAGAAAGACATTATACTTACCTTTAAAAAAGCCAACTTGTTCCCAAAACAAAAGGTCATTTAGTCTCTTATTCACAAAAGTGAGATTATTGTCAAACAAAGGCAACAGAAGATGTTTATAAAGGCCATCGGTACAAAAGGGAATAATCATGTGTTGCTACATAGATATCTTAGGAGGCGATACAAAAACTAGTTTGCATGTTAATGTGTTTGTTCATCATTAATGAGGGCCTACAGAATTACTTGCAAACATTTGCCTCTTTGTCCAAAAAACTATGATTTCCAGAATTTATTCATTGAGCTGCCTTCAATGATTTCTTAGTAATAAGCTCAAAATATAGATGCCCAATTGTTTGATGAGAGAGTATCTGTTGTCGTGGAACATTGCACATTAGCACAGTTCCACTGGCCCTATGGTACATGCTGTGTTTTGGATGAAGCAGTGAGCAGTCTGCAAAATGAATAAATGAACTGTATTCTTGGGGGTTAGTGAGGAGTCAGCGCAAATTGTGGGAACAAATAACAGTCAGGACAAGGCAGTGTTTTATAACATCAGCGCTGCAATCCATCTTTGGAATTTTTCAGAGCTCTGCTAATAAAGGCCTACTTGCAATACCCAGCAGCGAATCATTTAATTAAATTTATCTGTTAAAGTTTCCTTTTCACAGAAAGCCATCATTCTCCTCTGTCTCCTGTTCTGTCCCTGCAGATGCACTCAACACTCGGAACAAGCAAATCATTTGCACCACGTTGAAAGTGCTCCAGCACCTGGTTGTGTCAGCTGACATGGTGGGTGAGGCCCTGGTGCCTTATTACCGTCAAATCCTCCCCGTCTTGAATATCTTCAAGAATGTAAATGGTAAGTCATCAGGAAGACATTTCACCCCACTTTTCTCTCTCCTAATAGCGATATCCTGAAGGGAAATATGCATAGAAGTATTTTCTGTGATAATGATAATTAAAATCTATTACCTGAACATATCCACAACCATGTGAAGCACAAGTAACTCACTAATCTATGCAATACAAAAACAGGTAATCAACACAAAAATAGAGTAGACTTAAGTTGGATGGACGTTTCCTACACTTCCCTTTCCCCAATACCACCATGTAAGTTAGATTCAAATTGGGGTAGGAGAACCTAAGTACGTTAGTGACTAAAACTGTACGATTCATGCCACACACCAGAGCAAGGACGTGCAACAATGTAAACTTTTGTTAAATCTTCCCATTTTTAGATCCTTTCTAAGCTACTACTTATTCACAATTATTCCTTTTGTTTTCCTTTTAAATTAATTTTCGTAGTTTAACTAAGGACCACAATCTTTCCTGATCATCCCAGACACCAATGGCAAATTCAATGACTTTCTCAGTATTACTACATTATTCTTTATCTTTTTCTAAATCTCACCTTTCACTCCACCTCTTCTAAAGCTTTTTGATCTGCTGAGATACAGTTTCATAGGCATTGCATAGCCTTCCACCCAAGTGACTTTTCGTCAGGTTGGAGTCTGCAGCATTACGATTATGCAGAGCTACACATACTTTGGACAGAACTCTTCCATGTTTCCCAGTTCATTATACCTCAATATCAGCATGCATTGGCAGAAATGGTGTTAAATTTGTCACCAGTTTTAGTTTGTGCAAAAATAGCACAGATGTATTTCTAGTTGATGCTCTCAGTTCAACAATGTTGTTTCGTATTGCAATGCTATGTAACTGTTTAAATGTACTATTACCAACTTCAGCAATATCTTATGTATTTTTCACTGCCTGCAGTTGGTGTGGATCATTCACACATGCAGGAGATTTTGTATTTGTTTTTAATTATCATTTGGATTCAAAACAATTTTCAAAAGTTTTAATCAATATCAATTTCACCTCACAATTTACATAAGTCCCAAAGAATTTTCTGTCAACTTTGAAAAGAAACACTGAAATTACAGGCTTCTTAATAGTTTGATTTGAACTAGCGGGCTACATGGAGAGTAGATTACAAAGCTACCAACTGTCAGTTAAGACTGAAATGAATTTTTGCCTTGAAAATGATGTGTTACAGGAAAGAGTGAAAATCTTGAAGCTAACCTAGGTTTTATGACATGGCAATCTGCAAAAAATCTGCATTACTAGTCACAGTTTTGAAATATTTAAGAGCATTCACCTATTAAACGGTGTTTAATACCTTTCAAAATCTGTCAGGATACAATCATCTTCACAACAACTATAGTACTCTTAATGCAAACAGACTGCAAAGACACTTTACAAAAATATAATTGAACAAGAAAAAAAGGTCCAAAAAATGAGTGACAGAGGAAGCTTCATCAAAATTTTGACTTTAAGGAAGGCTGTGAGGAAGATGGGAGTGCAGAGGTGGAAAATTTAGAAAGGAATACTGCGAAGTTTAGGGATAAGCAGTTGAAGATTTGATCACTAAAGTTTAGACAAAAAGAAACACAGCAGAGCAGAAATGGAGGAACATAAACAAAAGGATTTGAAGAGGCCTTGCTACTGTCAGAATTCAGCTCCATTGTTGACTCTGAGCTTACAACCACAAAATCTTGTCTTGTGCCCCCACTGGGGGCTATGATGCACATTTGGATAAGGGCTGGATTAGAGGCAATAAAAATTTGAATGAGCTGAAGTTTACTGAGGACAGCAATGTGTGAATAGGAACTTCAGCCATGTGATACATTGGTAGGTGATGTTTCTGAGCTTGAAGTAAGCAGTCTTACTGTTAGAGAGGATTTAGTTCTGAAAGTTCAGCTTGTGGTTCAATAAAATTTTGAGTTGTCTAATTCAACTTGAGACAGTTGCTGGATTGGGGCATGTAATTGATGTAAGGGAAGAGATTTGATGGCAAGGTGATGATCTTGGTCATCCCAATGCTTGTGGAGGAAACTGCTGCTTATCTAACACTGATGTGCATTGCTGACAAAGCCAATCCATATTACAGAGGAGGAAGTGCTGGATGGCTTAAAACGCATAAAGGTGGATAAATCCCCGGGACCTAATCAGTGTACACTAGAACTCTGTGGGAAGCTAGGGAAATGATTGCTGGGCCCCTTGCTGAAATATTTATATCATCAATAGCCACAGGTGAGGTGCCGAAAAACTAGAGGTTGGCTAACGTGCTACCACTATCTAAGAAAGGTGGTAAGGAAAAGCCAGGGAACTATAGACCGATGAGCCTGACATTGGTGATGGGCAGGTTGTTGGAGAGAATCCTGAGGGACAGGATTTACATGTATTTGGAAAGACAAGGACTGATTAAGGATAGACAACATGCCTTTCTGCGTGGGAAATGGTGTCTCACTAACTTAATTGAGTTTTTTGAATAAGTAATGAAGAGGATTGATGAAGGCAGAGCAGTGGATGTGATTTACATGGACTTCAGTAAGGTGTTTGACAAGGTTCCTCACAGTAGACTGGTTAGCAAGGTTAGATCACATGGAATACGGGGAAACTAGCTATTTGGATATAGAACTGGCTCAAACGCAGAAGACAGAGGCGGGTGGTAGAGGGTTGCTTTTCAGACTGGAGGCCTGTGACCAGTGTTGTACCTCAAGGATTGGGGCTAGGTCCGCTGCTTTTCGTCATTTATATAAATGATTTGGATGGGAACATAGAAGGTATGTTTAGTAAGTTTGCATATGAGACCAAAATTGGAGGTGTAAGTCGACAACAAAGCCTTAGAGTACAACGTGATCTTGATCAGATGGGCCAATTGGCCAAGGAGTGGCAGATGGAGTTTAATTTAGATGAATGTGAGGTGCTGCATTTTGGAGAGGCAAATCAGGGCAGGACTTATACACTTAATGGTAAGATCCTAAGGTGTGTTGCTGAACAAAGAGACCTTGGAATGCAGGTTCTTAGTTCCTTGAAAGTGGAGTTGCAGGTAGATAGGATAGTGAAGAAGGCATTTGGTATGCTTGTTTTTATTGGTCAGTGCATTGAGTATAGGAGTTGGGGTGTAATGTGGCGGCTGTACAAGACATTTGTCACTTTTGAAATACTGTGTGAATTTTTGATCTCCCTGCTATAGGAAGGAATTTGTGAAACTTGAAAGGGCTCAGAAAAAAATTACCTGATGTTGTCAGGGTTGAAAGTTTTGAGCTGTAGGGAGAGGCTGAGTACGCTGGGGCTATTTTCCCTGGAGCTTCAGAGGCTGACGGGTGATCTTATAGAGGTTTCTAAAATCATGAGGGTCATGGATAGGGTAAATAGACAAGGTCTTTTCCCCAGCGTGGGGGCAGTCGAAAACTAGAAGGCATAGGCTTAAGGTGAGAGGGGAAAGACTTAAAAGGAACCTAAGGGACAACTTTTTCATGCAGACTGTGGTGCGTGTATGGAATGAGCTGCCAGAGAAAGTGGTGGAGGCTGGTAGAATTACAACATTTAAAAGGCATTTGGATGGGTATATGAATAGGAAGTGTTCAGTGGGATATGGGCCAAATGCTGGCAAATGGGGACTAGATTTATCAAGGATATCTGGTCAGCATGGACGAGTTGGACTGAAGAGTCTATTTCCTGCTGTACCTCTCTCTGACTCTATGACTCTATTTGTTGCCTAATTGTCCTCGAGAAGCTGGTGGTGAGCTTCCTCCTTGAATCAATTTAGTCCATGTGGTGTAAGTAAGTATTACACAGGACTCTAAGGGAGGGAATTCTAGGATTTTGACTCAACAACACTGAGGAACAGCTAAATAGTTCCAATATAGTGATTTGAAGGGTAATTTGCAGATTGTGCTGTTCCCATGGGTCTCCTTTCGTTGTGCTAGAGGTCATAGATTTGGAAGGTACTATCAAAGGAACCTTGATTGAATCCTATCTGGAGTACACACTGTTGCCAATGTGCATGGGTGGTGGAGAGAATATTTAGGTTGGTGTGGGGTGCCATTTAAGCAGACTGTTTCATCCTGCATGGTGTCAAGCTTTGTAAGTGCTTTTGAAGCTTATCCAGACAAGTGGAGATTATTTTGTCACATTCCTGATTAGAGGCTTATAAATTGTGGGTTTTCAAAGCCAGGAGTTGAGTTTTTTTACCTCAGAATTTCCAGCCTCTGACCTGCTCTTGTAGATAAATTATTTATATAGCAGCCCCAGTTCAGCTTCAGATTAATGGTAAGCTAAATTAATAGTGTGGTTTTCAGTGATGGTAATGACATTGAACGTCATGGGGAGATGGTTGGACTCTGTCCCATTAGAAATGGTCATTGTTGTCATTTGTGTTGGCATCACTGTTACTTGCCACTTATCAGGCCAAGTCTGAATGTTTTCCAGATCTTATCAATAGATTGTCAGGGATGGTCCAAGTATCTGAGGAGTGATGAATATGCTAGACTTTGTGCATTTATTAGAGAACATCCCCACTTCAATCTTATAATGGAAGTCCTTGGAACTACTTACCTGAGTTCAGCTCTTTTGTCCATATTTGCAGAAAGGCTATAAAAGGTAAGGAGCCAAGTGGCACTGATGGACCCCAAACTCAGCAGTAGAGAGCAGGTCACTGCTGTGTAAGTATTGCTTGACAGCATTGTTGATGACACTATCCATCACTTTGCTGATGATTAAAGGGACACTAATGGAACTGTAATTTTTTTCAGAAATATACTTTCCTCACAAAAAAATTCTTTGTGTATGTACATTGTCACAAAAACAGTTTGGTTCTGTACAGTTGCACATCAAATAAATAAACAAAACATTAGACTTTGACTCTATCCAAAAAAAAACCAAAGTCCTCTCTTACACATAGAATACTCACATATATTTGATGCACTAGTAGGGTCCACTAACTGAACAGACCCCCATTTGCCTTCAGCAGGAAAACCTCAGACAGTGCTCTTTCCCCACTGCGCTTTG